ACAACATTCTTCGTTTTAAAGTGTAATTATTATTAAAATTGAGTAATGGGATTATTGTTAGAGCAGTCGAAAAATATAATAAGGCTCTTAATTTTTCCATGATTTCAACTTCAACAATGACATTTGTAACGTTTGATGTCTTGTTTAGTAATAATATTAAAAAATCAAATTCTTCAAATTTACCTAATATATATTGAAATAAATATTAATACATTTTTCTCTATACTCAAATTTACTCAATGCATTTTGTGACACAACGCATTATATCGTCTTACGTATATTGTCATAAATATAATGAAAACCATTATTAAACTTTCCACTATCCTATTGTAGTGACAGGTGCTATTGTTAGTCTGATGATGACTTACTTAAATTTGAATAATTCATTTTAAATACCAAATACAAATTAAATTTTCCTGACGACGACACTACTCTGCACGGTTAGGTTGGAATAGAACCAAAACACAGTGGGACAAACGCATAATCTAGCTAATAAAAAATCGAAAAACATTAAAAAAACGTTGATATAATAATTATATAATAAATAACAAAATATATATAAAAACACAAAAAAGAAATACATTGTAATTATATATTTTTTTTTATTAAATATATAGTGTGTACTTAAGTCGATACTATATTGGAATTTTTTTAAATGCCAAAAAGTTATTCTTTATAAAAAGTTTTACATGGTCTTATACCTAAAATTTAAGCATCGACTACCAAATTTTTTTTATTCATCTACGAAGTTGATCAGAATTGAAAGCTACGATCATTTATCCTACATTATCCATCTATGAAAAAACGATCTTTAATGCTTTTTGGCATAAATACAAATTATACAATTTATTTAAAACTGGTTTTTCATGGTAGATGGGAAAAAAATTAATTATCTAAGATTAGTTTTTAATTTTCAAATCAACAATTTTCAATTTTGTTTATAGATAAAAGTAATTCCTATTTTTCGACAAACATAGTATATGGCTTAAAAGATTTGATATCTAATACCTGTATTTTTAATTTTAGACCATGGAGAACTTTTTATGAAGAAAAACTTTTTTTCATAAAACAAATATGTTTCCCATATTGTGCTGACTTAAGTAGACATACTAGACATATAAGAAGAAACGCTAATTGTATCTAAATATCTTAGA